TGACGTTTCCATTGAATTTCACATAGCCTTGCTTTCCCAAAAGTTGTTCTCATCCAGGCACCAGTTGACTACAGCTTCAACCTCGCATCGGTCTTGGTAACACCCCCACGGGAGTCGAACCGTGACAGTGCAGAATGGGAGCTTGACATGTTAATCACATTGCCACGAGTGCCGTTGGTTTACAGGGCAAATGTGAATTTGCCTATGCGAGATTGAAACAACAGTCCACTCTGGGTGAGGACAACTTTTGGGAAAGCAAGGCTATGTAAAATTGAATGGAAGCGACAGCTCTACTCATATCATTTTGGGAAAATTCTACTACCAGTCCTTCACGGAATAGGATGAATACATCTCATTAAACTATATCCTCCCCCAATACATTTATATCTCTGACCCTGCAATGTTCCCACATGCTTTATTGGACACGTGCTGTGTGAATGCACTGCATGAGAAGTAAGAGTAAAAACCAGATTCGAGCCTTCTCTTAGTCAAGGCATTTCTCGTTTCTTATCTCATCTCAACTCATCTCATTTCATCTCATGACATGAGATGTACGCCTTTGTCACAGTAGCCGGACCGACCAGCAAAAGGAGCAGTTGAAAAGGCGATGAGTCAGCGAAAATGCGACGACCGCGCCGAGGCGGCTTGATGATCGCGGACCGTGAATGCTGTTTTCCAGCAGGCTCAGCGGCCCAAGGAAGGGCCGTATCGATTGGGACACATGAAGCCAGTAAATGCGTAGGGCCTAACGAGACGAAAGTGGGTCGCACACACGAGCTCCTGTGTACGTACGTACGAGATAATGTCTGTTACATTGCATGTCTGTATGCAGGTGCAAGTGAACGTGAAGATTCAACTTCTGACCTCGATGGTCTATGTGAATGTGCGTGTGCGTGTACGAATGCAAACGCGAGAGTTCGTGAAAGATTCGTATTAGAGTAGGGTTTCGAGACTACCAGTAAATCAGTGTAGTGAGATGTATTCACCTTATTTCGTGTAAGGTGATGAAGGACTGGTAGTAGAATTTTCCCACAATGATATG